CTCCTTATATTTATATTTTTAGCTTGGCGGGGAGATCTACCGATCTCCGTGATTAAAAATTTTAATAAAAATATTTACTTAATTAACTAAAATTACTTCCCTCTGCTTTTTAGGTCCGTGCAAAAACTGGTGATGGTGCCTATATTGCACAACTGTGTGATCTTTTATTTATTTAGTATGAATCGGTACAATTGAAACAGTATAAATTGTTATAGTACGTGCAAAATACCAGTCACCGTGCCTGAAATTACCTGGCGCATTTAGCAAGAAAGGGGTCTTGGCTGTGGACTTGTCAAAGATCTTAGTCTTTTTGATTTTCTTTCAGTTTTTCCGTCTATTGACTTCCATCTTATTTTTGCCAATATTCATCGGAAAATTTCATTTTTTCTAGGATTTATGCTATAGGGTTAGATCTCAATTGATTATACAATGATAAATTCTCGCTTGCCAAATGATAATTACTTTTTTGAACTATCGCCCTGAGGGAAGTTTCATGTTTTCACAGAGGAAACTACTGTGTGAATCTTCTGAAAATTTTCATCTAGAGAATTATAAAATCATGAAGAATATTCAGTCGGAGTTTCAGCGAATTACATACATTTGCTTGATCATAATGGATGAAAAATTGGTTAAGATTCTGAAACACAACAACTGAAGAGTGTCCTTTCTGTGCTTTGATTTTCTCAAAAATTGGAATTACTTAATAAATCCTAATAATGAATTTGAATTTCACTCCATCACTCTCTCCATACTTTACTTTGATTATTCCTCAATTTATTTACCCCTATTAAACCATACATGACATCTAGAAAAGTCTTACTTTCTACTTACAAACCATGTTTTACGCTCAGTCCGCATTTCAGCAGCTTCTGTGGTCACAATAATCAGTTTATTGTCAATGTTGATGGCGGCCAGTAGGGTAGTTACTACAGCGCATACTGATCATGAAAAACGTAGGTGATAGAGTTTTCTAAGTTTGGTGCACATTTTAATCACATAACTTTTACTGTCAAGGAATAAATCAATTTAGTGAGATCATTAATTTTTTATTTAACTCCAATTATTTCTTTCACAGCGAAAAGCTATTGAAAGATTTTGTGCAGAGGTAAAAAGGCGGTGCCATGCTGAAAAGAGGAAGGATTTTGTGTCTGGAGCCTACTTGCTCACCTTAGGAAAATTTATCCATACGTTTGCGGTGCTAGATAAACTGAAAAACATGAAATCATGTGTGAAAAATGATTATTCTACCTAGTGTCGGTAAGTTTATGTCTGTAAAGTCGTAAAAGATTTCTCCATTTTGAAGTTTTCTCCTGTGTACCTGAATGGAGATTCTTTTTAAAAAATTATGGTACAGAAGTAATATCGCAAAAGTCTCTACAAGAGCTGTCCGAAAATAAATAATTAAGTCTTACGTTTTAATTAGAGTTTATTAGGACTGGGGAAAGAAAAGAAGAGTCAAAAGTCACATCAGTCTGAATGCATCAATCATCAGTGGGTCCATTGGTTAGTATGTAAGTATCTGTTGAATGGTGCAATTTTTGGATGTGACATTTGTCTCTTCTTTTCTTTCCCTAGTTCTATGTCTTTCAGCCGTCTGGCATATCTTCAATTGTTAAGAAATTTTACCCAAATTAGTCAGGAAAATTCCTTTTCTAAACTCCTCTTTTTTCAGTGCCGCCCAGTTCTCGAAAGTTATGGCAGATTCACACATCCTGCAAGAGTCGCAGAATTCATCCATGTTTCTCGCTTCGCAGAACAAAATTCGAGACACGGTGAAAGAGAATTTGGAAAAAATAATCGGTTACAAAGAGCTTCTGTCTGATGTTGTCAATCTGTGTGTGCACATGTTCGAAACAAAGATGTACCTGACTCCCACCGAAAAGCACATGCTGGTTAAAGTGAGTATCATGGCATCCCATCTTCACGATTCGTTCTACCTTCGGAAGGGTATGGTTTTGACTTTTTTTTCAAGGCCTTGGAAGTGCTTGAATTCTTCTCTACTGATAAGATTCAGCAGTTAATTTAAAGAAATAAAGAAACATTTTTTGATATTTCGTTGAATGTAGGAAAACATCTTGTTTACAAACGAAATCGTTGTCTTTCTGAAACACGAATCCAAAATTGTGAACTCAAGCTCTTATCACAGGGAAATTACTGTGTTTTCGAAAAAATTCGGAAAATAAGTGAATTGTTGTTCCAGTCTTAAGCCAGTTTAGACTCTGAAGATCTCAAAATTGAGATTTTAACACTACTCTTAGAGAAGTGTTTTTTAAAAATTCTCGCTGCCATTAATGCTCTTAGATTTTAAACTAAACTTTTTAATTCAAGAAATGTAACTGAAGTTCAGGCGATTCGTGAACTTTTAGTCAGATTTTGTATTTTGGCCATGTGTCTCATTGTCAGTCCTTCTGCGCTGTTCTTGACTCCATAGCAAGACAGTTCTAAGTTTCTCAGTATTTTTTTCTCAGGTTTCACAATTATTTGAAATCTGCCAGATGTAATTATTACCACTTATCTCTACGGTCACTAAATATTTTTTCATGCCCTTTTAAGACTATCGTAGGTGAAGAATTTTATGGTGCAAACCAGGTATGGAAAGCAATGTAACAACAGGGGATTGTAACATTAACTGTCCAAAGGGTAACAGTTGATCTAAGTATGTGACCAGGGGCTTGATTCTGTGTTGCTCTCAGGCAATGTCATAGGCATGAGGTACGCACCCATTGCGCAGTTACACATCTTCTCTTTCCATGTGATGGTGAGAGATCGTCAGACTAGAATGTAATTAAAATGCTGCCTTCAATTTTGTTGATTAGAGGTGAGATTGTTCGGCGAAATATTGAGAATTTGTTTTTCACGACCCTCTGCGTGACACCCTCATAATGTTTTGGAATGCGACATGTGAGGCAAAACTTTTGTTGGCTATTTGTTATTAATTTTCTTCACGTCTAAAAATTTTTATCTTGAAGAGTTTTTAGTTTATACCCAAATTGGTGGGCAGTGGCTAACAGCAAGAGCAATTACTACTAGCTAATACTACAAGTCGGGAATGACAAAGAAAAACTCTTAAGATGAGTGAAGAAACTTAAAAATTTATTATGTATCTTAATTTTTAAGCCTTCCTCACCCATCATTCGAATTTTTCATTCACTCCCTTTACCCCATTTCCAGCTGTCGAGTCCACCATATGAGTGACTAAATTTCAATGTTAGTACCTCTTTGATACCTGTCTCTAAAATCTCTCACTCCTCCTGAGTGCTTGGAAATTGAGGAACTGACAAAAAGTGTTCTTCGATTCTTCTCTCCATGATGCATCATCTAAATGAAGGAGAAGTGATGATTTTAAATCTAAAGGGGTATCCTCTGGAACTTTAGTAACCAGTGAAAAACTGCAGCATCAAATAGTTGGCGTTGCTTAGATGACAGTAGAAGCTTCAGGATAATTAATGAGCCTCCTGCTCGGTGAATGATGATCATTTTTTGTCTTTCTCCAGCACCATTTGCAATAAATGTCTGCTTTGATTTCTAAAGGAACCTTGATTTGCTCCCTTTCTTCTCTTCTTAGATGAGAGAATACGCAGCACAATGTTCAGACACCTTTATGATGCTGTTCCATGTGGGGATTACAAGTACTGTCTCATATTTTGTAGTTTTACTAATGGTTTTAATGTTTGTTTTTAGGTTGTCGGAAAATTGGAAGCTACATTTCGTTCGTGCGTTAGTTATTCGCTTGGTTTTTGTCTGTTTTTCTAACTTAATAAATTGGAAGATGCAAAGATCCAGTTGGACGCGAATATTAAGTGTGAGTACTGTATTATATTATTTTCGGATGGTTTTTCATATTTTCTTGAGACGGAATGTCTCTAAGTTGTAGCTGAATAAAGTCAACAAGTGAGAATATGAAAATGATAGCATTTTGTGCAACTAAGACTTCTCACACACACACGGCTGCTGATGTGTCAGTTCTTATGACCCTTCAAAAGTTTTTTCCTTCATCATTTTTTTATTTTTTAGTCACTTTTCTGGAATGTTATTTCGAATGATGAAGTAAAAGTTCAGCGGTAAACACCATTCACTACAATATCAAACTGCTGATCCAACAGTGGCTCAAACAAAAACATTAAGAAATCCAAAACATCTACTGTGCATGAAGTGTGAAGTTAACTTTTAACGTAGGTAGCACTATATATTAAAGTGTTGTTTACTCCCTTTTATTATAATTGAATTGATGTTTGATTTTATCACCTGGGAACAAAGTCTTCTCATCTGAGGGGAAAAAGTCCTCCAGGTGAGGACATGTGGGGAGGTTCGTGTGATGGAAATGTGAAAATAATCAGAGCTAGATTAT